TTTTGGTATTTTCACGCAAATTCTTCTGCTAGTTGGGGTTTAGTCCACTTTTGTATCCTTCCCTTCAAGGCTCAGGGGTCCAAGATTATCTTCTCTATCTGTGTTAACTGTTTTCCCTTTTCTTTGTTGAAGAGGGTCTGTGCAGTCCTTCTGCCTAGTCCGCCATCTTGCCAGAACTCAGAGCAATCTACTTCTGTGAAGATTTACCACCTTGGAAACCCAATGGGGGTTGTTAGGAGTCAGAATCAACTAGATGGCAATGGGTTTGGTTATTTTTTAGTCAACAGGAAGTAGTTCTGGTGGCATAGGGGTTAAGTGCTCATCTGTTAACTGAAAGGTCTGCAGATCAAATACACCAGCTGCTCTGTGGCAGAAGAAAGATGTGGCAGTTGGTTTCTGCAAAGATTTACAGCCTTGGAAATCCTGTGGGGCAGTTTTATTCTGTCTTATAGGGACACTAGGAGCTCTGGTGGTGCTGTTATTAGGCATTTGGCAGCTAACCAAAAGGTTGGCAGTTCAACCACCAGTTGCTTCGTGGAAGAAAGATGAGGCAATCTGCTTCCATAAAGATTTACAGCCTTGGAAGCCCTGCGGGGTCACTATGATTTGGAATCAACTCGATGGAAGTGGGTTTGCTTTGGTTTACAATGGTTAAGTGCTGGGGCTACAACAGTGAACAAAACAGAAACAAACAAGAAATCAAAGTAAAAACCCCTGTGCTCATGAAGCTTACTTTCTAGTTGGGGGGCCAGGTTATAAGATCAACAAGTAGACTCTGTAATATGTCAGAGAATTATAAATAATGATGATATAAAAGAAAATAGGGAAAGAGGATATGCACCATCATGGATAAAGTTAACATTTTAGATAGAGTGGCCAGGGAAATCCTCACTGACTAGTTGATTTTTAAGACCTGAAGGACTAAGGGAGCTAGTGGCAGCAAGTCTTGTAGGCTTTGGCATGTGAGATGGGAACTACTGCAGGATTTGATCAGAGGAGTGACATGTTCTTATTTATGACTCACTAGGATCACTCTGGCTGCTGTCTTGGGAATGGTTTCTTGGTCGGGAATGGGGGGCAAGGCCGAAGCACGGAGATCAGTTAAATACGTGAGTGATGGTGACTTGAAATGGAGTGGTGGCAATGGGGTTGGTGAGAAGTGACCAAATTCAGAAAATACTTTGGAGGAAGAGCCAAAATATTTCCTGAAAGAGCAACTGTGACACATAAGATGATGTTTGTCCTAAGCAAACCGGGAGGATGGAGTTTCCATTAACTCAGACAGGGAAGGATGTTGGAGGAGTATGTTTGCAGAGTACATATCAGGAGCTCAGTTTTAGACATGTTAAGTTGGAGATGTTAAGTAGAGCAGCATCCATTTCCCTTCCTGTTGGAATATTCCCATCAGCTACACTTGGTTGTTTCTCTCAACTTATTTTAAAAAATAAGAATTTCACTAAAAAAAAAAAACCTCATTGCTCTCCAGCTACTCTGCCATTTCCCTCTCCCCTTTACTGCAAAACTCATCAGATGTCAGTACTTGCTGCTCCCAAATTCTTTATTGCAAACTTTATCAAATCTACTTCAGTAGGGTTTTTTGCTCCTACAATTCTACCAAAACTGCTCCTGTTGAGGTTACTAGTTATCTCCATGTTGCTAAAGTAAATGATCAATTCTCAGACCTCATCTTAGTTGATTTATCTTAGTTATGGATTTGACACAGTTAATATTTTCTTCCTTCTTATAAAATTTGCTTTGCACAATGTCCTAGACACCATACTCACCCTGTTTTCCTATTCCTTTTTTATTTACTTTGCTCCTCATCTCTCCTATTTGAACGGTCCAAAGTCTAGTCTTTCTCTTTTTACAAGTATGCTAGGGATTTTTCACTTCATTGTGTGTGTGTATTTATTTTATGTTATTTTTATTTTTAAGTTTTTTTATTTTAAATTTGGAAATCTGGTGAAGCCATAGACTACTATGGACACCTTCTTAGAATAATGTTTTTTGGTGGCATAGTGCCTAAGGCATTTGACTGCTAACCAGAAGGCTGGTGGTTCAAACCCACCAGCCGCTCCTCGGAAGGAAGATTGGGCAATCTACTTCCGTAGTGATACTGCCTCGGAAACCCAAGGAGGGGTCGCTATGAATAGGATCCAACTCGACGGCAGTGAGTTTGGTTTGGTTTTTGAAAACATAATATAAATATAAAATAGATAATGTACAATCCAATTATATAGAATTACAGTGGCCCAAATATTTTTTTTAAAAAATATAGCAGTATATTTGCAAATATTCATATATTTACTTCTTTAAATAACAGGATCTAGCACCAGATTTTAAAGCAACCATAATTAGGAAGCAAGTTCATAAGATAAAAGTGAGAATGGGGGAATAGGTACTGGAGATTTTAAGAGGGAAGAGAAAGTATGCAATAGTTAGTTACAAGACAGGCCAAGGGAATGGACTAGAGAAATATAGTGTTTTTACAGAAATGTACAAATACAGTATGTTTTCTGGGCATAATTAAGGGGCCACTTTAATCACAAAATTAAAACAAAACAAATCAACATGGGTGTGTTTTTCTCTAACCACATCTAGCTGCTGTTGAGGTAGATAGTAAGATTTAGATAGGGTTGTGATTTAGCCCTATCAAAAAGAAGTGAGAGGGGAGATTGAGGGTACATATTAAGAGTAATATAATTATTGACCACAGAATTTAAACTGGATTAGTAAAGAAAAGAGAACTTGGGGTGGGGTGAGGGTGGTAGGACAAATGGATTGATTGAAGGTTTTATGGTGGAGTTGAAGGATTGTTCAAAAGAGTGATGGAGTATGGTTATTGCTGTGGAAAGATAGGAGGTGGTAAATGGAGAGTAGGATTCTGAAATTGGGAGTACACTGGACAATACACTTCATTTGTATACATATCCTTATCTTGAGCCACATAAATTCTGACATGGAAACAAAGTAACATTCTCCTGCAGAGGTTAAAGTTTATATATCAAGGTTCCTTATACATCAACTTTTATCTGTGAGATATGATTTGATTATCCAAATAACATAAATGAACTTCAATTCAGGAAAATTCAATATTGAAAGTAATGAAAAACAATATGGGATTGATAACTGTCGTTAAGAAATGATCTTTCAGTTATACAAGATTTAAAACTTCAGACATTTGATAAAAAGATCAATGCACTAAACTGTTTACCAGATAGTTAATAATCTACAAACACAGATTTTCAGCAGAGAAAATTAAAATAAAATTTTAACACAGGATCAATAGAAGATCAAACAGAAATTAAAATTAAGTATTTTTGAAATTATAATATCCAACAGGAAAACAGGACTTGACAGACTAAAAACAAAGATAAGTCCAAACTAGTTTCCACCAAGCTTTTGTTAAAATGAAATATTAAATGAGTCAGGGCCGACTTGACGGCAAACAACAACAACAACAATTAGTTATTATCAGTAAACAAAGTCTAGGAAAGTGTTCTTCTTACCTCAGGTCCCCAGGCCTGTTCTAATGGGAGGTGCTTGTTCAGTTCTGTCATTGACTTCCAGGTCTGTGCTTCATGTAAACAGCCACTCTGTCAAAAGATTGCATGTATATGTATGTATAGAGGTTTTGCATATCAATTTATTCATAAGTATTGAATATATTATGATGCAATTGAAAATGGTATCTTTTTAAAATTTAGTTATTTAAATCTTTGCTGGTATACAGAGGAAAAAAATGACTTTTGTATTGAGAGAACATCTTAAATTCACTTATTAATTCTTATTGTTTCACATGGACAATCATGCCATCTGTAAAAATGACAGCTTTGTTTCTTCCTTTACAATCCTTATATCTTCTGTTTATTATTATTTTGCCATGTCACAAAGATCTCCAAGAACAGGGCTGTATAGAAGTGGTGATAATAGGCATCCCTGTTTCAGAGGGATGCCTATCACATTCATAATTTTCTAAAATTTATTTTTTAAAATGTGTCATGTATGGATGACACACTTTTTATCAAATGACTTTTCATAAACTATTCAAATAATCTTATGCCTTTTCTCTTTTATTCTGCTACTGTGAGCAATTCCTTTGATTGAATTCTAAATGATATACTAACCCCTCACTCACGAAATAAACAAAACTTGGTCTGGATATATTATTCTTTAATATATTGCTGGACTTGATTTGCTAATATTTTGTTTAGGTGTTTTGCATGTATGTTCATGAGTGACATTGGCTCATAACTCTCGTTTCTTTTAAGGTCCTTATTAGGTATCAGGGCCATAGTTCTCCTGGGTTCGTAAAATGAGTTGGAAGGTGCTTTTCTTTTCATTCTCTGAAGGGTTTTGTATAAGGCTGAAGTAAAATTTTCCTTAAATGTTTGGTAGACTTTATCAGGATAGCCATCTCGGTTGGAGTTTTCTTTTCTTTTTTGTTGGTTTTCATTTCTTACGTTTTTCAAGACAGTTGTCCATTTATCCATTTGTTCACTGTCAAATTTGTTTGTATTAATTTGTTTATAATAGCCTCTATTATATTTTTACCAGAAGACTGGTGGTTCACATCTACAAGGTTGGGCAATCTCCTTCTATAGTGATATCATGTCAGAAACCAAAGGAGGGGTCACTATGAGTTGGATCCAACTCCACGGCAGTGTGTTATTATATTTTTAATGTTTGTAAGATCTGTACTGAAATTCTCTTTAACATTTCTAATATTTGTTTTTAATGCTCTTTTCTATATTTTTCTTGATCAGTCAATTTTATCAGTCTTTTCAAAGATATACCTTTTTTTCCCCTCCACAATAATCAAAGGATCAATTTCTGACTTATGGGTTCTTTTTACTCTATGTTTGTGTTTATTTCAGGAATTCCTGTATTTAACTCTACTGTTTCTGTCCTTTTACTTTTTTCTTTTTTGAGTTGCCACTTTTTTTTTTTTTTAACTTCTTGAGATGGATGCTTAAGTCATGCCTATAAATCTTTCCCTTATCCCCTTGCATCAGCACAACTTTAGCTGCATCTAGTGAGTTTTGCCTACCACTCATCTGTCACTTTGTCATACTGTGATGGTTTGCATGTTGCTGTGACTCTGGAAGCTATGTCACTGATATTTCAAATACCAGCAGGGTCACACATGGTGGACAGGTTTCAGTAGAGGTTCCAGACTAAGACAGACTGGGAAGAAGGATGAGGCCATAAGCTTCTGAAAAAATTGGCCACTAAAAACCTTATGAATAGCAGGGAAACACTGTCTGATATATTACTGGAAAACTTTATGAATAGCAGTGAAATATTGTCTGATACATTGCTGCAAGATAAACCCCTCAGGTTGCAAAGCACTCAAAATACTACTGGGGAAGAGCTGCCTCCTCAAAGTAGAGTCGACCTTGGTGACATGAATGGAGTAAAGCTTTTGGGATGTTCATTTGCTGATGGGGCATGTAACAAAATGGGAAGAAATACCTGCAAACATCTGTTGATAATTGGAACATGGAATGTATGAAGTATGAATCTAGGAAAATTGGAAGTTGTCAAAAATGAAATGAAATGCATAAAGATCGATATCCTAGGCAGTAGTGAGTGGAAATGGACTGGTATTGGCCATTTGGAATCAGACAATCGTATGGTCTACTATGTTGGGAATGACAAATTGAAGAGGAATGGCATCACATTCATTATCAAAAAGAACATTTCAAGACTAATCTTTTTTTTTTTTTTTTTTTGCATTCTTTCTTTCTTTTTTTCTATTATTGTGATTTGGGTGAAAGTTTACAGAGCAAATTCACTTTCCATACAGCGGTTCACATATACTTTGTCTCATGACATTGACCACAGTTTAACACAATGCAACAGCTCCCCTCCTACTTCCTCCCCATAGTTACCTCTTCCCTGTGTCCATCCCTCCATGCATTCCTGCCCCCTGAGCTGTCTCCCTGTGCATAAGCAGCCCTTCTTTCTCTCATGATTGTTCTCTCCAAGGAGTGTATCTACCTCAGGTAAATGTTCAGCTCATATGCCTGCCTTTTGTTTGGCTGGAAACCACAGGTGTGGGTTCAATTCCAGATCTGAAGGGCAGCTAGGGGCCATAGTCTCAGTGGTTCCACCAGGCTCTATCAGGGCAGCAAAGCTGGTCCCCCCTTTTTTTTCTCCAAATGATTTTGAGTTTTGTTACACATTGTTTTCCCTCTCTATCAAGGATCTCCTACATAGATCCACTGCCAAGTGGATGACAGTGGTAGCCAGGCACCATCTAGTTCTTCTGGTCTCATAGTCATATAGGCTGCAGATCGGATGGTGTACCAGTCACTAGGACTAATTGTTTCCATGAATTTTGGTTTTCTTCATTCTTTGCTTCAAGACCAATCTTCAAGTACAATGCTGTCAGTGATAGGAGATAATATCCATACACCTACAAGGAAAACCAGTTAATACTACTATTGTTTAAATTTATTCACCAACCACTAAAACCAAAGATGAAGAAACTGAAGATTTGTAACAACTTTTGCAGTCTGAAATTGACCAAACATGCAATCAAGATGCACTGATAATTACTGGTGAATGGAATGTAAAAGTTGGAAACAAAAAAAGAAGCATTGGTAGTTGGAAAATATGGCCTTGGTGACAGATGAGACCCCGCATATTGCATGAAAGAATTTTCCAAGACCAATGACTTATTCATTGCAAATACCTTTTTTTCAACAACATAAACGGTGACTGTACACATGGATTTCACCAGATGGAGTACATAGGAATCAAATCAACTAGGTCTGTGGAAAGAATGATGGAGAAGCTCAATATCATCAGTCAAAACAAGGCCAGGAGCTCACTGTGGAAGAGACCACCAATTGCTCATATGCTAGTTCAAGTTGAAGTTGAAGAAAATTAAAACAAGTCCACAAGAACCAAAGTACAACTTTGAATACATCCTGCCTGAATTTAGAGACCAACTGAAGAATAGACTTGATGCATTGAGTATCAATTACTGACAACCAGATGAGTTGTGGGATGACATCAAGAATATCATACACGAAGAGAGCAAAAGGTCATTAAAAAGACAAGAAATGAAGAAAAGACCAAAATGGAGGTCAGAAGAGACTCTGAAACTTGCTCTCAAATGTAGAGTAGCTAAAGTAAATGGAAGAAGTGATGAAATAAAAGAGCTGAACAGAAGATTTCAAAGGGCAGCTTCAAAAGACAAAGTAAAGTAATATAATGAAATGTGCAAAGAAGGAAAGAGCATGCTCAGCATTTCTCAAGCTGAAACAGTTGAAAGAATAATTTAAGCTTTAAGGTGCAATACTGAAGGATTCTATGGGAAAAATATTGAATGATGCAGGAAGTATGAAAAGAAGATGGAAGGAATACACCGAGTCACTGTATCAAAAAGAATTCATAATTATTCAACCATTTTGGGAGGTAGAATATGATCAAGAACTGATAGCACTGAAGGAAGAAGTCCAAGCTGAACTAAAGGAATTGGTGAAAAGCAAGGCTCCAGGAATTGATGGAATACTCACCGAGATGTTTTAACAAATGCATTTGGCACTGGAGGCACTTACTTGTCTATACCAAGTAATTTGGAACATAGCTACCTGGCCAACTGGCTGGAAGAGATTGATATTTGTGCCCATTCCAAAGAAAGGTGATCCAACAGAATGTGGAAATTATCAGTATATTATTAATATCACATGCAAGTAAAATTTTGCTGAAAATATTTCAAAAACTGTTAAAAGAGTATATTGATAGCCACAGGTCAAAATTGCCTGGTATTGGTACAACAGACACATAGAACAATGGAATAGAATTGAGAACCAGAAATAGATCCATTGACCTATGGTCAGCTGATCTTTGACAAAGGGCCGAAATCCATTAAATGGGGAAGAGATTGTCTAGTTTAACAACTGGTGCTGGCAAAACTAGTTATCCATTTGCAGAAAAATGAAACAAGATCTGTATCTCACAACATACACAAAAACTAACTCCAGATGAGCATCAAAGACTTAAATGTGAAACCTAAAACTATAAAATTCCTCAAGGAAAAACTAGGAGCAAATTTAGGGGCCCTAATATATGGCATAAATAGACCATCAAACATAACACAAAATGCACAAATAGCAGAAGATAAACTAGATGAATGAGACCTTCTGAAAACCAAATTTTTATGTGCTTCCAAAGACTTCTTCAAAAGAGTCAAAAGAGAACCTACAGATTGGGAAAAGATATTTGGCAATAACTATCTGACAAGGGACTTAACTTTAGAATTTGTAGAAAACTCTAACACCTCAAGAACAAAAGGACAAATAATCTGATTGAAAAATGGGCAGAAGACATGAATAGACACTTTGCCAAAAAGGATGTTCAGGCAGCCAAAAAACATATGAAGAAATGCTCAGGATCATTAGCCATTAGAGAGATGCAGATCAAAACAACAAGATAACATCTGGTCCCAGCACTAGTAGCAAAGTTCAACAAGGCAGAAAATAACAAATGCTGTAAGGATGTGGAGAGATTGGAACTCTCATACACTGCTGCTGGGACTGTCAAATGATACAACCATTGTGGAGAACAGTATGGCAATTCCTTA